CCACGAGTTAATAGGCAAAGATTCTGTGATGCTTTTGAAATTTCCGATGCGGCATTTATCAAAAACTTTAGATTGAGTAAAGACTTGGCAAAGAAGTTAATAAAAGAATTGGATCCATACTTGAAACCTCAAATGAGATCATCTGATTTAGACTCTACAACAAAGGTAAGTTGAAATAAGTACTTAGTTGATAAATCATATCGATACATAGTGAGTTACGTTTTTAATTTATATTTAATGTCTCATTATTATTTTAGGTTTTAATAGCCCTTGATTTTTACGCTACTGGTTGTTATCAAACTCCAGTTGGGAACAGTAAATTTTTTTCAGTGTCTCAACCCTCGGTATCTAGGTGTTTAGAAGAAGTGACTTCTGCATTGAACAATGAAAATGTTTTTTTTAAATGGGTGAAATTCCAGAGTAACTTAAGAGAACTAAGAAAAGTTCGCAGCGAGTAAATATTGAATTGTATTTATATTATATAGCTGTTAAATTTGTTTAGGTATTTTAATCAAGCTTAAGTTTCGAGTAGCAAAGTGAATGTGCTATTTGGACATTTTTTTTACCTCCCAAAAGTACCAACTATATCCAATTTCCTACCAAAAACCATGCCCAAAGTTGAATATTTAAGCATTAAAATATAGCAAAATTTTAGATTTTACATGGCTACTGGTTTCCAAGGTTGCATAGGATGCATAGACTGCACTCACGTAGCAATAGTACCACCATCAAAAGATCCATTAAATGCAAACCCGGAATATATTTATGTCAACCGTAAGGGGTACCACTCAATRAACGTACAACTAGTTTAGTATATCTATACAGTTCTAATTTTTCTTGTAATTAAATTCACATACAGTATGTATTTATAAGTCAATTAATAACTTGTTTTAAGATATGCGACGTGAACCTTAAAATTATGAACGTAAATGCATTATTTCCTGGGAGTACCAACGATGCTTACATATGGAGTAACAGCAATGTACAACCAGTTGTAAAAGAACTGTATGATAATGGCCATAAAGGATATTTTCTTTTGGGTAAGATATTTTATTTATAAACTAGCTGCTGTCGGAAACTCGCTGTCCTGAAACTCGGGGGATAGGTGAGACTCGCTGAAGTGKGCKGTGGAGGCTARKKACGACAATGTCGTCGTAGTTTTACATATAAAAATTKTTCCTGTTTAAAAACAAAAATTTGAGGAGGTGATAAGGATTTCTGATAATGCTTGGCGAACTCGTT